CTAATTTTATTTGATTTTAATTAATTAGATATTGATTTTTTAAAAATAATATGAAAGACAATATTTTTAAAAAAATTTATTTATTTTCAAGCATTTTACCATTGTTTGACACATGTCTAGAATCGAATTCTCGAGTGTTACTTTAATCAAAACCATGACTGGTTTGACTTGAAACTATTCTTATTCCCTTAAACCTTTTAACGATTGACATATCTAATCTTGCTTATAAAATAGATAAATTTTTTAAATCACAATTATTTCTCGGCATAGTCAATTCTATTTATGTAGGGTAGAATAAGTGAGATTAAGTTGTAATAACTCTTTACCGTTCATCTAAGTATTTGGTGATAAAAATAAAATAAAATTATATTTTAAATTATTTAACATGTTTTGAAATCTAAAGTTTCAAATACTTGTGTTTTAAATGATTTGTTGTTGTATTTGATAATTAAGGAGATTATTTTACCTTTGAGATTATCTCATGATTATGCTCCATGTTATGACTCCTTATATCTAAACACTGTAAATAAGACACTTCCTGCTCTATTGGGCATCTTATTTCACATTCTATTACTTAGCTATCGAAAATCAATTTAATGGAAAATAATACGAATATACACCGAGTCGTGGACACACTCACTCAGAACTCGACATATATACATAAGACTCAAAAGAGAAGGTGGCGTAGGAGGATTCCTAAGCCTCCTCCTGAGGGGCTGAAAGGTCATGTGAATAACAAAATTTGGATCCTTCTCCATGATGACTCTACTAATATGTAGTTTTGGGACCCAAGATTGTTACATCCTATGAGGTTTATCCCTTCGTCATCCTTTGCGGGAAAATGACGGGCACACATCACACATTATATTTTTATTAAAATTAGTTTTGCTTTTAAATATAAACTTCTTTTAGAGAGTTTATTCTAGTCATTCTTGTAAGATTTTTAAATTATGTTTATTAAAACAAGTTCAAACTTGCAAGTTTTTAGACGTGGAGTTAGATGAAAATTGTGAATTTGTGGCTGAAAATATTATATAAATATTTTATAAAATTATAAGTGTTTAATAAATTAGTTTCGCAATTAATTGATTTGTATTAAATAATTTAAAAGAATATATAGTATTATATCAATGTAATATTAAAAATAATTATCACTTATTTTTTATTTATAATCAGTCAATTAAATAATTATATAGAAAAATAAAATTTTTCTTTATATGTATTTGAATATAATATTCTAAATTATATATATATTAATATCAAATACATTTGAATAAAAAACTAAAAAAATAGGAAAAAAATAAAACTATTGTAAAGATAAATAGAACAAAAAATAATAAAATTAGCGTACGCAATGAAACTACTGTAAAAATAAAGAGAACAAGATACAATAAAATTAATGTATTTATATTAGATTTAATTATGTAATGAATAAATTTTTTTTTTCAAACACAATAAATGGTAAAAATGTAATAGAAATATGGGTAGTTAGTCTTTGAAAGTTAAAAATTACTTTTAGATAATTTTTTATAAGATAGTTTCTACAAGTTATGAATTTTTTTCATTTTGTATTTACTAAAAAATTCTATAAATTTATTGACTAAGTTACAAGTTCTTAAACAAGCTTGTTGACTAAACTACAAGCTTCTAAATAAACGATAAGTTACTTTTATCAAACATAGTCTTATTTTTTGTCAGTTATTTCTTACATTTTTTAAAAAAAAATCCCTTTTAGTGAAGATAAAAATAATTAATTAATTAAGTACGATATAATAAAAAAATGATTCTTAATAAATTTAAGGGTAGTTTTAGAAAAGTCATCCAATTGTTAATAACTTTTTATATTATTAATAACGTTAATTATATTTCTTAATTCATATTAAGTAATTAATACAGTCTTATATTTAAGATAAAGATAGTAAGTTAAAATATGACAAATATTTAATAATATTGTATTTTTAATATATATTCTTACTATTCCTCCTACTTATTTTAAATAAAAATATAAACACAAATATTTTTTATTTAACAATTACAGGACAGTATAAAAAAATAAAATAATTATTTTGTAAATATAAAAAATAAAAAATTTAGAATTATTTTTTAATATGTATTTAAAGACACGTAATATAAATATATATAATGTGATTTAATTTTTTTTAATTAAAAAAATGGCATAATTGAATACAGCGATATAATTTGGGGTGCACAGTATTCTGTCAATTAATTACCATTCGAAGCATGTAGACATTTTAACTGCATGGAACATGTATCCTATCATTATCGGGGGAGATAGGTATGCAATTTGGGTGGTTGAAATGGAGACCTGCGTGTGATGCGTGCAATGGGATATACGACAAAATATTTTTGTGTCTCTCCACATATATCATCTGTCATAGAAGCCCACTTGGGATGCTACCATCATCAACGACAACTTCCATTCTCTTCACATCATCTTTAAATTCCTTACATACTGCTACCCTAGTACTCATGTCGTATACCAACCAAAATTTACCATCTTCCATGGAAATTTCTCCACTTATATTGCAAGCATCTTCTCAATAGTTGCTTTAAATTATTTCTCAATACCTATATGACTTTATACAAGAAGAACAAACGATGTGGAATGTAGAATCATCCATCATATTTTTATATTAGTTAATTATTAGTGAATTATAATGTAATAAATTCAATTTTAGATTTTTTTTTTTCACTTTTAAATGTATGAAAACTGTTTCATCTCAAAATTTGTCTTCGAGTTTCAATTGATATGCTGAAGTATTTACATATATTTTTATTTTAAATACATTTGCTTGAAATTTGAAATATTATTTATTTATAAATTATATATTGACTTACATAAATGAAAACAGTTTATTTGTTTAGTTTATTTTAAAATAATTGATTTTTTTGTTAGAAATAATTCTTTTTGAATCAAGTAAAACTGTTATTAGTGACAAAATTATCTCTTTAAATATTTAATACAGTTCAATTAACTTGAACTCAGGTATGAAGTCACAGATTAAATTGAAACAATTTTTTTTTTATTGATTTGTATGTTTGATAATATTTGTTTAGTTTATAATAAAAAATAAATATATTATTTTTATATGTTTAAACAAAAATTAATGGTTAAAATCAATTTTAATATATATCTCTTCATATTTTAATAATTTATAGTAATTTTACTCAAAATTAAATCAAAGTGAACGTGTGTTATTTTCTCTAATATAATTTAGTGTGTGAAGACAGTATCAATTTTGATAACCCATTTATTTGATGGTCCCTGTAATAAATATAAAAACTAAATAAAAGCACTATAAAGCAAAATATAATAGACTTTTATGTCATTTTTTAATTGATGAATGTTAAAATAACTATATATATATATATATATTATTTATTAATTAATTTTTATATGATAAAATTTAAATTTAAAAATATAATAAATTTGTAAAATAAATCTATCACATTTTATTAAATTAAAAAATACATATTATTTATCTAATTTCCTTATGGTATGCGTCCAAATTGTCATAAACGATCAACGAAGCTGCACTTGCGAAGTTGTGTGGAGCTTTCAAGTTATTATTAGCATAGAACGGGGACGAAGGGTCCACACGCCTAGGCAAAAAGAAGATAGTTATTGACAAACTTACCTCCCTAGTCCCTCCTTCACTAAAATCAGATTTTCCATTTTGGTTAGATAGTTAAGGATGAATATAATGCAATAGAAAAAAAAAAGAAAAGAAATAATGTCATATGACAAAATAAAATTATTATTTTATTTTTATACTTTAAATTAAAATTATTTCTGCAAGTTGATTTATATATTTAATAATACAAAATTACATTTTAAGCTTAATTAATTTAAAATATACTATATTAGTAATAATATTTAACTATATTTTTAAAATTTTAATTTTTAATTAAGCTTAACTATGTTGTATGAACATGTAACCAATTTTACTCAATGAAGTAAGAATTAGTTATTATTGTTGTGTTAATAATATAAAAAATTTAGACTGTCGTTTAATTATAAATTATTATATTACAAAAAAATTTATTTTTTATTAGTTAATATAGAAATTATGTTTACAATATATCTTAACTAATCATCTGTATCAAAATTTTTATACTAACAATGCATTAATATGGAAGTGAATATGGATTCCTTTCTATTAAAATTTTATTGACTTTATTATGTAATTTTTTTAACCGATATTAAATAAATAAAATCATATCAAAATTTAAAAATATTTATAAGGATTGAGATATTAAGACAAACTTTTCATTACGAGTACACTGATAATACATATTGTTTTGGTCTCAAATCCCGTTCCGTGGAGATAAAATATCAATTTAAACATAATAGAATTGAATGAGTTTTCAGAAAATATAGGAAAAAGCTATAAATATTATTTCATTTTAATTTTACAGTAAAAAAAAAGAATTATATAAATTTTTTAAAAATTTAAAATAAATCAGTACATTTATTCTGTAAATATACTTTAATTATCAACAAATCCTTAAAAATTTATTTGTAAGATTTTTTAAATTAATTTTGTGTAGAAATGAAATTAATTGAGTAAGATTCATAAATTCTATCTTATTTACTCTCCAAAAACAATTCTTTTAAAAACAAACACACAAAATTAATTCTGCTCAATTCACTTTTAGAGTATCCGCTTAAAATATTATTATTTTTTAACTCAATACTACTAAATTAATTAATTCAAAACACATTTTACTAAATTTAAAATAAGTAGATATTCAAATGCCTATTTATTTTTAAAAATAATTTATTCTCAATTATTTGGTACTTTCAATTGCAAAATATTACGTTATTTTTACTATATTTTAAAAAATAGAAAATATTATAATTTTCAAAGTAAACATCTCCTAACTTGTTTAATCAGACGTGGGGCCCAGCATGCAGAGAGCAATCACTATTTATTTATTCCAAGTTAACCCTCTGGACTTAGTTGGATTCCCTAATTTCTCTTTGTTTTGTTTCTCAGTACCGCACGCAACGCGAACACTCACTGTCCATTAAAATTTCGAAACCGAATCAATCGAATTTGAATTTCAATTAACTTTCCTGTGATGCCTTACGTCGTGAGAGAGAATCTTCTGATCGGAAACATCGGCGACGCGGCGGAGATTCTCCAAAACGCCACCGTTCAGCACGTGACACACATCCTCTCCGTTCTCAGCTCCGCTTCCATATCCTTCTTCTCCGAATGGCGTCCCGGCCTCACCATCCCCGCCAAGGACATCGCCAAAGTTCACGTCGCCGACAACGCCGCCGCCAAGTCTGCCCTACCGCCGGAGAAGCTTCTTTACTCCGTCGAGTACGCCGGCCATGACTTGAAGCTAGTTCGCATGGCCGTACCTCTCAGGGACACCGAGAACGAGGACTTGTTGGATTACTTGGATGTTTGCATCGATTTCATCGATCGCAGTCGGAAGGAAGGTTCCGTTTTGGTCCACTGTTTCGCCGGAGTTTCCAGAAGGTTGTAACCGATTTTAATTTCAAGTGCTTTGTATCGGTGAGATTTTCGTGTGTGTCGTAGTGTTAAGGGTTTTGCGTGTGTTTGTTGCAGTGCGGCGGTTATTACGGCGTATTTGATGAGGACCGAACGTCTGTCTAGAGAAGGTTTGGAACTAATACTCTGTTTGGGTCGTGATTGGTTGAACAACTTAATTAATCACTTTTTGAATAAGATTTCACTGTGAAGCTGGTTGAAATAAGAAGAAAAAGAAGAAAAGCTTATTCTAATGATGAAATAAGAGGAAAAAACCGTAAGGATTAGATATGTTTTAAACTAATTTTTCTTTAGTTCAAATAAATTCTTCCAAATGCTTCCTTGGTACATGATAGTGGCTTTACTCAGCAAACTGAGATGCACTACCGGATAGTTTCATCGCTCTCTAGAATATTAACATCGATGTTAGTTCAGTATCGTTAAATGTTAATATGAGTATCTTTTCAAGTTGGCCTCCGTACCTTTGTCCTATTTTTAAAATTAAAGTAAATTGAAGGGTATCTGTGTCTCGAGCTTATATGGTGTTCTTTTCTTTTCTTTTTAAATGTGTTTTCCTGTACTGCAGATGCCCTTGAGTCGTTAAGGCAGAGTTGTGAATTTGTTTGTCCCAACGATGGTTTTTTAGAGCAGGTGTGTATACGAAAGGTCACTTTGTATGGTGGCTTGGATATCTTTTATAACTTATATTGAACTTACTAATCAGAATTATGACATTTTTAATTTTGGGTTTTACTATCTTAGTTGAAAATGTTCGAGGAGATGGGTTTCAAGGTTGATTACTCTAGCCCTATATACAAGCGTTTTCGTCTAAAAATACTAGGTATGGCTTCATCTCCTTTACTTCCATGTTATTGTGGTACCTCATGTCCTTGTATGTTTCAGACAGTATTATTTGTTTTAACACTACTGATGTGAAGAAATAGGTGATTCTAAGCTATACCTTGTATTATTTTGGGGTGTATGGTATACCTCTTACTTCTTTTGTCATGTATCATCCCCGTAATGATGCAACTAATTTTTTATTCTTTATTTTTTTTCTGTTTTGTTACTTTCTTCTTTTTTTTTTTTGGGGTGGGGGGGGGGTGGATTATGGGGAATATTAAAGACAAGGTCAGATATTATGGTTATTCACATGGCTTACTTGTGCGTAAGTGAGTGCTGCTGGAGACAGTGTTTGACCATTCCATTCGTTTTCGTAGGCCACTTCTGGCTTTTATGTTATTTTGCCAACTTAGACCTTTGTCTGTAAAACTATTGCCCTCCTATATTAGCTTAAATTAGTTGGTTACTATTTGGCTATATTAATCACTTTGAAGACGTGAATATTTTTTGTTGTCATTTGTTATCATAATATGCAATTAATTTAGTACCCACCTTCTAATGTTCAATGTTCTTTCTTTTTATAAATAAATCAAGAGGCACTATACCCGTTATAAATTTTCAGAAAGTAGGAACCATGGACTACATGTTACTGTGTTAAAGTTGCTTCCCCTTCCAAATTCTGTTCTGAAACAACTTTTGATAGAGAAAATTAGAGATTGTTTGGTTTGAGAAAATGTTTTCTGTTTTCACATTTAATTATAAAATATCAACTTTTTTTCATTTTATTTCTTGCTTTCAAAAGGTTGAGGTTATAGGAGAAAACTACGATAACATGTGACTCATCTAGTAAGACCTAATTTATGGCAATATCTTCCCCCCTCTCATATCATTGTATTTTATTTATGAAGCTTCTTACCCAGGTTTCCAATTTTTAAGTTAAATTATTCCTACTGGCTGCTGTTTTGGTGTTATGATATTTTGTGCTCTTGCCAATCGTTTTATCTATTATGAGCATTGAAAATGGGGTAATTTTTGCCATCTGAGGAAAGAAATCTCTCTCTCTCTCTCTCTCTCTCTCTCTCTCTCTCTCTTCAGGTGAGAATCATTTCTCAGGGTTGAGGATAGACAGTTCTAAACTTGGTGCGGATCCTGGCATGCCTGTTGAAATTTCTTCAGAGGTGGATGGAGCCGCTAAAGTAGAAAATAATCGTAGTCCTACCTATCGCTGTAAGAAGTGCCGGCGGCTTGTTGCATTGCAAGAACATGTTATAGATCATATTCCTGGTGAGGGTGAGACATCCTTTGAGTGGCACAAGCGGAGAAGTGGCAACCCTTTCAACAAATCCAATGAATCTGAGTGTTCATCCATATTTATTGAGCCTCTACGATGGATGAAAGCTGGTAAGAAAACACTTAACTACAAACTACAATGTCTATCTTTCCAACGAGCTGTGCTCGTGACTTTATGCTGCACTTTTCTGCAGAATGTTCTCATAATTTGTAGAAGAGATTAATAATGGTCTTTTATAATTATCACTATTTTCTTGCCTCTCTTGGAACATTTACTGGATGGCCTTTCTTGACTACATTTGAGCCGAATGTTCTATATATATACATGTAACTGTAAGGTAGTGTGATGATACACAGTGGTATATGCATAAAAGTGACATTTTTTTCGCTGATTTCTCTTGTGACTCAGTTGAGGAAGGCGCACTAGAGGGAAAGTTGTCCTGTGCTCATTGTGATGCCCGTTTAGGATACTTCAACTGGGCTGGCACACAATGCAGCTGCGGAAGCTGGATAACCCCAGCTTTTCAACTCCACAAAAGCCGGATAGACATAAGCCCTATGTAACCCTTGCACGGCTTTATGCATATCCTCATTCCTCAAAAAGGGATGCCACCTGTAATTTTGTCATTGTTCTTGGACTTGTATTCTGCTCAAGTTTTCCAAGCTGGTTCACTGCCAATGAAGTTACGGAAGGAAGGATCCAAATCTTGTTCTTTGGATCTGCTCAGTTTCTCAGGCTGAACCAATGCATTTATGAAAGGGAGGATTGCAGTCTTACACTTCTGTGCTTCTTCCAGAATGACTTTTAGGAGCTATGTTTTGAGATTATGGATTATGGATTTCTAGTAAATTGGCGAGGCATGAGTTGCCTTTCCAATATTAGGGTAGCTCCCATCAGTAAGAATGATGTTCTTCTCTACGAAAGAAAAATGAGTGTTCTCCATTGTACCTGGTTTTTTCTATTCTTAATCTGCTAATTTTTTCTTCGGTTTGAAGAAGTTGGCTAAAAGTTGAAATCGACCCAAGGGTACATAAAATGCATCCACAATGATGTTATAATGCGAATGTATTTCATTCCCAGGATTACTATGCCCTCTTCTGATCATATATATATATATATTTAATTATCTTTTGCCTGTCGGCAATTGGATAAGAACTTGATTGCTCTAAGGTCACACTTAATTGCAGAACGTATCATCAAACGTTATCAATTTCTCTCTGTAAGTTGCAGTGGAAGTACTTGAAGTCAAAATAATTTGCTTCTAATTGAGTAGTACTTGAACCATACAGCAAGCGGAGCGAGGCATCGTGGAACCCTCACCCGAGAATTTTGTGCGTGGGAATGCACCAATCAAATAAAAACATAATACAATAGTACTCTGCACAGTATAACCATACCTTGTCAATGAATTACGTTAAAACATATTGTATAATTCAAGTCAAGTTTTATTTGTTTAGAGGGTTTTAAACATTAATAAACTAAGTTCATAGTTTGAGGTCAGAAATTTCGGGATAGTTTTCCCACATAAAGCTTGATAATTTCTCATCCCAATATTTTTTACGACACCATATTAACCGCAAGAGATGGAAAGTTTAAAGAGCACCTCCACAATGTGCAACATGAGTGTGTGTGAGAGGGGAGGGGATGATTGTATAATAAAGTTCATTATAGACAGTAAGCAGTCCTCATCAAAGTGACATAGTCTCAACAGCTTTCACAGACCAGTATGGAATTGGGCTCCATGTGCTTCATAAATAAACTGCATAGAAGAACCTGCCACTACAGATATCTGATTCACATTTCATAAATGTGCAAGCTTTCCAAAAGTTGCAAGAAATTTTGTACAGGCTCCTAGTTCTCATTCATCTATCAATGCCAGTACTGAAAATGGATATCTAAAGATTCACGTTACGGTGGAAAAAATGATCCCAGGAAAGGAGGAATCCTTGAGGATGATACTATGAATGCCTGAAGTTCACAAACATCCCCAAATCATAATTAGTGAATTTCCTATGCTTCATGAATGGGCTTTCCATCTATCAAGTCAGAACGGTCTGGTTTTAATCATTTATGGGCCACGTTTATGGAATTAGTGAGACTGTGCCTCCAGTAGGATGTTTGTGGCTATATTGACATCATTTCTGGCCTGCACTAGGGCTTGTCTGGCAGAATTCCTGTCAAAGCCCATAGAAACAAGGGTAGTGATAGAGTCCTCCGATGGCTCTACTGCAGATTGCATTGGAGCAGGATAGTTTCTCTGCAGTTAACAGATGATTCTTAGGGCAGCAAAAAATAATGATAATAATTGTCAAAATGTACAGAATCCTACATATTCCTCTAGGAATATTAACATAGAATATAATGCCATAATTACTACATCAAATTGCATGACAAAATTTTCAAACACCAAAGTAAATCTCACACATGGATCACTGAAAGAATAAATACAACCGTGGCAAAAGATTACAACAAATCAAATAACAATATTCTGTTCTGAACACGTTTGTAAATAAACCAGTGAGTCGTTGACCTCTATAAGGTTTCACCAATAGTTTTTCTTAGTCTCCCTCTACCTTTACAGATAGGGCTATTTTCCATCTGAGCTATTCTACTTGCTAGACCTTCAACAGGTCTTCTCCATGGACGCCAAAACCACTTACAGTGAGATTCTACCATTTTTTCACAATAGATGCTACCACAACAACTCAAATGCATTCATGGAGTTGCAGAGAGATCAAACCAGGATCCCATGCTTGCTGGGTGCATGGCATGTCTCCAAGCCATACATGCTTGGTTAAAATGCACCAGCTCTAGGAATGGAAGTGAGCTGAGCTACGTTGAGCTATGCCTAACTCAAGTTAAGCTTGACCAGAACAAGATTAACTTGAGCCCAGTTTGAGTTAACTTCTAGATAATACAAGGGAAAAAAATCAATATGAAAATTGAATAAAACTTCTTTCATAAGTTAAAAGCAAATTATATTCTTTAAGTTTTAGAAAAGTTAAACAAGAAAACTTTAAAAAAAATAGAAAAGCTGATTTTAACTTATGAGAGGAGTTTGATTTATTTCACTACTAAATTTTTTACTCAAGTACTTACTGATAAGTTTAACCAAACTAAACTTTAGTCTAGCTTGGCTTGTTAAGAAATTGAGCCCAGTTTTCTGGCTTAAGCTCAGCTCACTTTCTAGCTCACAAGCTACTTGAATTGATATCTCAATCCTATAATCAATAAATGTTTATCTAATTTTTATCTATTCTAATTGAAAAAAAGCATTTAATGATATAAAAGTAACATCAAACACACCCACAAAAGCTAATGAGCTGAGCATAGGAATGCTCCAGCTTGACTCATTCAACAAAGGAGCCATTATTTTCAATTAAATTCAAGCATAAATGCATAATTCATTAGCCCATGAGCTTTTCTTGTTGAAATCTTAATGAAAGTATCGTGCAAGCTAGCTTGACTCACTTCCAGCCCTAACCAACTGTAATGAGTTCAGTTTGCATTGAAGATACTGGAGGAACAGAAGCAAATGATTTGACAGAAGCTACAAGCTAATATGCCTATGAATATTAACATTAGTGTTCAAAAGGGAACCAGCTTCATTTCATGGCTGCATAGAAAGCTGATTGGGTCATCAAAATTATAGATGCACAGCTGTTTCAGTTATGCAAATGAAACCATGAAAGAGTTACAGGCATAAAGTAAAACTTGCCTCCACTTGGCGAGCTGGATAGGAAGGTATATTCCCAACAACATTCCTTGTTGATGATGTACGTGGACTCCCCATAGATGGCAATGAGATTCGTGAAAAGAATGATGAGATGAACTCTGGGAACTGTAGGATAGGATCACATAAGCACAAACAAATAACAACTTCCAAGTGATCACTTTAAGTATAATAATCTAAACTACATAGTTTTTGAAAATAACAGTGTGGAGGATAAGAAAAAAATTCATGGTTATTACATTTCATAATAGTAGATAAATGAGAGTAATACAATGGAGAGTAACAAGACATTTAAATATACACCATATAGCAGACTTGCATGTAGACACTAAACGGATGTATATTCCTTGACAATGAACCAAATGCAGGAAGTACATGGTGGAGTCAAATTCATTGTTAGACAAGATCATAATTTATTATCGCTGTCTATTGTAAAATATGAGTGTGATTCCTAGCTAGCATTTGGTTTACAGCTAAAAGGGCAGGCAGCATCTAATCTGTAAGTCCTACATAATGCCCATGGAAGATTCAAGATGGATTTATAGAGTTATATAATGCATTGCAAGAATGTGAAGTTCCACGGTTTTATCCTAAAATTGTGATCTTAATAAGACAGTCAAATGCCCAATCATAAGCCTTGTTTGGTTTACTTTGTAAATGAAGTTTTCTTACTTTTCAAAGCAAAAACAGCCTCCAAGATAAGTTGCCCAAACCCCAAAAATCTTGCTTCAGCCAAACTGTGTTTTGTACTTTTGTTAGCAATGCAAACAGGCATTTAGTGTCCATTAATACTAGAAAGATTTCAAAATTGGTTTTACCTCCAAGAAACAAAGTTCAAAATATGCATATTCCAAATAAAAGCTGATTAACCCATCTGACTATTTAATTGAGAGTAATTGATATGTTGATTTTAGCAAATTTTAAAAATTTAAATTACAATTTTGTGATTTTGGTATGCATGTACTTGTATATATAACTCCATATTGACGATGCAACTTAAATCAAGTTGACTATTGAATTATAAGTAATGGATACGGTTGATCTTTCTCATTATATTTTTGGAATTTAAATAACTGTGTGGGATCAAATAGTTACTATAATTTATGTTGATCATAAGATATATCAATGGATTAATGAATCACAAAGTAATCTTGAATTGATGTGAAATTTGCAAAAATTGTTGTGAATGACGGAACCTTTCAATCCAACAGTTAAATTAATGAAATACTAATATATAAAATGTTATTAATTTGAGTAAGATTGATTTTGATCAACAAAACAATATCAATGAAACCCAACACATTTATATATATATATTCCATAGAGAAAACTTGTGACCATAATAAAAGGATAACAAATTACAAGCCATGTGAATCCACTGACATGTAATTTCTAAAATCTAAAATAACAAAACAAACTTCAGCTTAAATTACCTTTGCTTTGCGGATGCAAAAGACATTCAAACGGTACAAGGAACCAGCAAGGATGCCACACATTCCTGGTAAGATGGACCTTCTCCATGATGACAAAAGGAGCTACAACAAAATATATTAGTTTTCAGACACTGAATGGTTCTAGACATGCAGAAGTTATATAAGCACGCACAATGCAGTTCAACAATACCTGAAGACCAGCTAGATATATGAATGACTTGTCTGAGAAGAGGAAACTGAATACACGAAACCGAGTTGAAACAGGAATGTCAAAGAAAAAGGGAACAAATGAAGCAAATATAAGGCCATAAGGTCCAGGAGTGACAAGGTTTGCTGAAGGATCTGCAAAAGGTGGACATAAAACTTTCAAAGAATAAACACAAGTTACTTTTTTAAAAAGAAAACGAAGGTCAGTATTTTAAGTATCAAATTGCACAAAGCCACACATAAATGACCAAATAATAACATCTTAAGCATTGAATTGCTCTATCTAATTAAATTATTCAAATACACAAATTACACACAGTAAACTGCTCTATCAAATTCTTATATAATATGTGCAGTAGCATCTAGCACTATAAAAAGAAGACAGGTCATCTCAACATGTATAAATTAGACGAGCTATTTGTGAATTATTTAAACTCAATTCATTGAATACTTGAATGCTTAATCAAGCTTGTTTGTTTTACAAAAACAAGCAAGCTCAAGCTTGACTATAGACTCAATCACATAAATGAGTTAAGTTCATGCTTTTTAGACTAGACACTAAAAGCTCCTAAATAGCTTGTGTGAGTGAATGCGTGTGTGTATAATGATAAAAAGTAAAGTTTAGATAAGGGGGATTCAGCAAATTTTAATTTTATGTAAAGAATTTTAATTACCTAATTTTCATGTTTAACGATTCATTTAAATTTAGTTCATTCTCTAGCATGAAAAAGTCTATTATACAAAATTAATAAACTTGAAAATATTTCAAGATTTGAAAAAGGGATTAAGCTATAAATGAACTAAACAAATTGAGTTCAAGCTTGAGCTTCAAGTACTCAACTTAACTTCATCCCTGCATAAAAATACGCTATTACCAGCAAATATAGTGTCTAAACTCTACAATAAACAAGCAATATGTTTTCTTAGTTTTCCAACTTCTTGATGGAAGATTTTGTAACCATGGATTGTTGTGTTGATTTCAATACAAAACCATCTCACAGGTTGAAGATTGAAAGTAGAGTGTGAGGATTTGAGATTTTGTGCTTATGTCTATAATGATTGAGGCATCCCTAAATAAGTAACCTTTCAGGCCTTCAAAAGGATGACTTCTCAAATGAAGATGATTCACTAGTTATGAGGTTGTCAATTGTCATGATACTTATGATATTTGAGCTACAGTTTAGTTAGAAGTATGCCAAAGATTTTTTGTCTCTAAAACACCCCGTTATGTGAAAGCCCTTTGGGCTTGAACAAAACATAAAGCATGAGCCCACTGTACAATGTGTTGGAATTCAAATAGAAGAATCGACGCTGAAAAGAACAAAATCCTGACTGTAAATCAAACAGGCTGCTATTTCATGTCAAGTCAAGGAACTGTTAGAATATCAAGAAAATACCTCAACAATAATATTGTATCCCAAAATACTATAGTGTATTATAGATGATCTCTTAGGAATTGTTTCCATATTTCATTATATTGCATGAATAGTTTCCTTACTTAATTATATTAGGAATTTAATGTTAGTATAAATATGGGTCAATGCATTGTATTTTACAATACATCCTTCATGCCAAATATCAATATAATTTTATTATTCCATGCATTTCTTTCCCCTTTCTTCCTCCTTCCATACTAAAATGATCAACAGGAATGACTATCACAAAACCTTAAGCTATTAGGCATAACTGCTTAAGGCAAAGAGTGTTTAACTAAAAACTATTCATTAAAAATAGGTGGATGTCTGTTGTGTGGATAGCGAATAATTATTACAGATGCTCACTGTTCAGAATAACAGATAAATCAACCATGCTGATTATTAATAGACATAGTCACTAGGAATTTCTATGTTTGAACCACATGAATGCCCTAAAATATTCGTACATGGAAGAATACTTCGTTCTTCACCCTTAGAAGCAAGGCATATATTCCTGATTTCAAATGTTTAATTGATTGGTGTGCTAAGTTGCATCTTACTCATCTTAGCTTTTTAGTCTTTTTACTTCTGTCTTGGTCAAGTTCTTGAGGTTTTCTTATTCTCTTACTTTTGTGCCTCTCTTTTATATTCAGATAAATTCTTTTGTAAAAACAAATTGTTTTTGAAAATGGTTTCTGACAAACTTTACCCTTCAGAGTTTAATGGGCTTACAAACTCAGTGAAAATTAAATGTGAAATATACTTACTCTTTAATTACACAGATGAAGAAAAGATATTGACTACAAGAAATTAGGAATCAAGTTACCTACTCTTTTTGGAAAAGCTCTTGAACCATCTTTAGGAAGTGTATGGATAAGGCAGTTTGCCTCATTAAGCAAATGAGCAAGTGATTAGGTATTAGAGAAATAAATGAGTCATAGGTTTGATCAAAATAAAATATATTATGTTACTATGGTTCAAGAGAATGTAACAGTATCTACATGGATGCCACAGTGGAGGTGGTTGAATCAAGACTAGGCAGTAAGCATCTTTATGGATGCTTTATTCTATCTCTGCTACGAAAAGCCAAGCCAACTTGTTGAGTTTCTTGCAAGTGTTTAGCTCATTGAAACTGCCAGTCACTGGCTTAGCCTTTTCTTCCCAATAGAAACAGAATTCCTTAGGGAAGAACCTTAATCACTACCTTTCACAAATACACCTTAGATGCATTCTATTTTAACTCAATGTGGGATATCCACAAATAACTCTTGTGATGTTAATATCAAACACAAAAAGAACTGGTCAACCTTTGTGTTTCAGGAATAATCAGCCATATGCTCACAGAGCAATCTCATATAAATACCCTTTTTCAGTAACGTGCTACTGACCTTATTTTTTCAGGTGAGCAGTTAAAATAAAGCACAATCTTAACCTTATGAACATAAACATGTCAGTACACCATTATAAAAGCACCAACTGACACTCCTCAAATTTTGAAATTAAAATAATCTTTAGCTTTAACATAGTTTTGACTCTTGCATTTAGCTACTCGCCCATTTGATCATTCCTTGCTACACAATTAAGATCAAGCATAGAAGTATACAAGATGCCTCAAATGTAGTGGTATTCTCAAAACTTATTCATAACGAAACAATTGTTATTCTTCTCTCACATCATCTTGTCATCCGAACTGGCATAAACCATCTTTCTGGCCAGAATTAGATTAAATGGTTTGGCTAGAGAAACTACCTTAATGTAATTCATTCATGTATATGAATTCATGCCATCAAACTTGTTTAGATATATGGACATTTACCAACAAATGAAAAAATATCAACTTGAATTTATAGATCTGAAACAGACAACAAATATAGGATACTATTTACAGGCAGAAAAAATAGTGTCATCAGTAAATTGAATCCTCACACTCCATGTTTACATATCAGCCTGAACCCCAAGAAAAGCATCCAACTTAAGAACCTGTTTACACTTTAGAATGGAAAATGATAACAAGTTGATGGTAGGCATTTTGAAGTAAAATAATCACATGATTAGGGCACATTTTTAGTAGTTCAATAAGTTAGTAATGTATTTTACCTAACTAATACCAAACTCATATCATATATTAATATTAGATATAAGGAAATAATTAATTGAACAGGTCTGATAGTATAATGTCAAATGTCCCGAAATTCATTCACTTAATGATACAAGCTACTGACACAAACAATGACCCTAGGCCCTTTAAATCAAAAGAAAATTGAAACAGTTTTGAAAATTATAATAATTTGAAGACTTAAATTTTTAACACCCAGTGTGAAATGAAGGCCTCAAGTTTTAAAAAGTCATGTTTATCACTTTATGTACCTCCAAATTGTGTATTGTCAAGCAGTTTGCTCAGCCTTGCCTAAATAGCATTAAGACATGAAGGCATCAAACCTCTTTAAATTACCGAAGTTCAAAATTATATCTGCACTAAAATATCTTATGAAGGGAGGTTCCACAGAAATGGAAAATCATATATCCTGTCATATGTATTCCTCACTAAATTGGTATTTGAAAAAGCTCATCAAATGTCAAAAAAGTTTAAAAATAAAAGTACAAGATGAACAAAAACAGTCGAGAAGGAAAATTCAGCACATGAATAGAAGTAATATGCACAAGCAAATGCATAATAGCATATACAGAGATTAATCAAAGTTAAAGTTAAAGTGGTAAAAAAAGGCATATATAAAGGCCAATATTGAAAATAATACCTTTTAAAAGAGCTATTGTAAGGACCTCTAACAGTAGTGAAGTTAATATGGAGAACAGGATAAAGACCTGCATAAAGAGGACACACTGACATATCAAAACCCCACACAAGGTACACAGAGCAAAACATTACCCTCCTCCCCCAGGCATGTAAGGTGTCAATGGAATTAATGTGCAATCAATCTAACAAATCATATACCTAACATTTTTTTATTAACCAGAAATTGGATAAGAAAATATATCTATAGAGATAACATATAAACTCCTGAATATAAACTTACAAATTACAAATTTACTTACCGAGTATTTATTGGAACCTATTTGTCTCTCAAAGACCCTGAAATAATACAGCAAATACAGTCCAAACATCAACTCCGGTGTTGATGAGAAGGAAAGTGTGGACATGATCAACTTCCAAAGGCGAAACTTTCCAAAAATATCCTGCCCGAAGGAGAAGAGAATGGGTTAAGACTATATAGTTAATGCATCATAAGTTCAGGTCTGTGTAAAAGATAACAAAGTTGCAGTGTTTCTAGTGTTTAAATACTCTAGAAGGAATATAATGACTAAGAAGTGTTAACCCTCCCACCAGATTTGTTCATTAATAACATCAAATGAATCTGAATCTCAAACTTACATAGATGGAGATTCCTATATAACCATATCATCACAAATTGACATCAAGCCAGGCAATTTAAACAAATCAAAATCATAACCTAAACCAACACACTCAATTTAAATAAACCCAAAAGATCAAAATCAAAATTCGAAAACCGATGACTGACCTAATTCATTCCTATAACACACATGCAAAATCCAGTTGCATAAGCATTCGAAAAATAACACATTGAGGCTAATTAACAAAAAAATTTGAAAAATTAAAAAGAAAAGGCAAAAGGGGCACCTGATAAGACAACCCCAGAGTGTTGAAACGGCCTTGGATCCCGAAGAAGATTGTGAAGAGCGCCGAAGCGATGATAAAAGCCCTTGTGACAGGAGCATTTGCTGTGAACAAACACACACATAACTAAGCATTTGAATATAAACACGAATCAAAAAGAGAAAAACGTTGTGACCAAAAAGGTAAAGGGGTGTGAAAAATGAACACCCCGGATGATTATACGGTTCGGGAAAGAGAATTGACGCACTGAAACCAGATGGACCTCCGTTCATCTTCGCACTGAAGTAAAAAGCAACGACCTTTTTCTTCAGTTATTTTTCTCTTTTTTTCGCCTTGCAAACTTGCCTTCTCTTCTCTATTCTGTTCGATTCTTTCTTCCTCAGTTTCGTTTATATTGAAGCAATTATTTATTAATTAAATTTGCTTATATTAGTGGAAAGGGAAAATAAAAAAGTGATTTTGAATGACTTCTTTGGAACCTTCTGTTCTCTTAACAACCTCCTTGGTTGAAGGAGCTAGGCGGCTTATTTTCTTGTTTATTTATTTACTTATTTTTATTTACATCACAAAATTAAGGATATGTTACAAGTTATTGCTAGTTTTTAATTTTTATTTTTAAATATAAATTTTAAAATGAAAACATTCAGTTGAAATTAAATTAAAATAATTTTTATTCAATTTAAAAGTATTTGATTTTAGTTATTTCAAAAAAATAATATGTTTCCTTCAAAACTGTTGTTAGTTTTAAATTTTGAAAATTTTTAAAACATAAGACCAGATTTTAGTCTTATTATTTTAAATTTTATAATTTTATATTTAAATTAAGTTTGTTTAGCATTAAAGTGAAGATAAAGTTAAAGATAAAAGAGAGAAAAATAATAGTAACATAATAAACTTGTGATGATAAAAGTAGTAGTTGAAACATAGTAACAAGTGTGTTAGTGATAATGGCAATGACTTGAATATAATATTAGTGGCAATAATAATAGTAGTAGAATTGACAATAATAGTATCACGAGATATGATAGTCATAAAAATGACAATAAAAATGGTAAAAGTTATACCAATAATAAATATAGTTGTGATAATAACAATAATAATTGTAATGATAATGATTATAATTGTTGTGACTAAAGTTATATATTTGAGACAATGATTATTGAGTAGTGATAATGAGTGATAAGTATAATGATGATAAGAATTAACAAGTAATAATTGACAAAGATAAGAAGCATATTAATGGTAGTGATAATAACTTATGATATTAGTGATAATAACAACAATAGTGGCAATGATGATGACAGTGACAAATGGTAATAGTTATGATAGTACAATAATTATAGAAATGTTATAATGGTGATTTAAATGATGATAGTAAGTGATAACAATAACAACAATTATTAGAATCAAATTCATCAAACAAATTAAACATGATTAAATCTATTTAATAAGTTTTGGAGGTAGGCTCAAGCTAGCCTATCAAATCAATCAATCAATCAATTTTGTCTAATTTACCTAAAATACACACAAGTATAGTATTCATCATTATTTTAGATTTTAGTGTTATAGTTATTATCATTGTTGTTGCCACATTTTTAACTATCATTAGTTGTGCTATTCTTATAATTATCGTTGTTATTACCATTATTACTAGCACTAAAATTATTTGCTTGCTACTTCACATGCCTTTATTATACCACACTATCCCTAAAAAGACTTAGATTATAAAACAAAATGTAGTTTATGTGTTATAAATTTATGATTTAATATTAAAATTTTAAAAATATTCAAATCTCTAGCAATTTTTTTTCAATTTTTTACCCATACATTTTATAATTAAAAGATAATATTATTTAAATTACAGTAAGTATTAATTATTAATTTTTTTTAATAAAGATATGAATCTAATTCACCATTTTCTAAGAACATAATCTCCTACTAAATTCAAATCCGTTGATAATCTTTAATAAATTTTGATTTCTCAAATATAAAAGTATAGTTAATAAATAAATTATAATATTATAATTACGAACTAATATATTTGTAATAAAATTATGATAAAGAATATAGATTATGAAATTAGTAACATTTATTTAATAGTTATGATTTTGTATTGTACCTTTTATAATAAGCATTTTATCTTAAAAAAGTGAAATTTTAATGTTAAAAATAATATTATTAATAGTGAGATATCACTTACCATGGTAATATAAGAAAACTATAAGCTGGTAGTGTTTATATTTAAGAAGGAGATAAGAAGGAGGGAAAAATATCAAACTAAAATATAACAGATAAGAGATTAAGTCCTATCTTAGTTAGACAATCAGCATAGTAAACCTCTCTACAAATATGAACAAATCTAACAAAGCTAATAGATTTTAAAGTCTCTCTAATGTTACAAATTAAATGGAACAAGGGGTGAGAGGGTTGTTGGACATTCAAAATAAGGTTAATGGTCTCTTTGGAGTCACTTTCTATTTAGACAGTCTTCACTCTATATTTAATCACCACCTGAATTCCTTGGAAAATGTCCCATAACTCAGCCATAGTAAGAGAACAAGGCTCCAAGCTGCTGTAATTTCAAATGGTCTAGAGGAGGAGGAATCCATCTGACCTTACCATGACCAGAGACTAACTTAGATATAGGTTTGACTTTATCACTGCAACAATAGAAGAAAAAATTAGTATCATGAAGAATTTTTTGAGTTAAATTAGTAGGAGAGACAGAGGAGTTCTGAAAAATAAATTCATTTATATCCTTTCAAAGGTTCCAAACATTGACAACAAACATCATACTCTAATTTTGAAAATTCATGAATGAAAGAAAGACAAATTTGATAACATCCAGTCATATAAACCCTTACTAAAGAATTGATGCCCATTGATCAAGTAAAATAAAATAATGTCAGACTTTTTTAGCATAGAAACAATATCTCAAAATATGCATAATAGTTTCAAAACCTTCCCTACACCTAATACAGGTTGGGAAATCAATCATACCACGTCTAAATATCTCATCATTTGTGAGTAATTTTCTATGGGCTAATTTTCAGAGCAAAAAAAAAATAACTTTAGCAGGGCCTTTCCAGGGCCATATAGTTTAAAATAAAACATAACTATTACTAGACTGATGGACAAAATTATAAATTAATTGATGAGTTGATTTAATTGAAAAAACTTCATTCTTTTTGGCATTCCAATAGACTATGTTAGATCCACTAGATATATTAGGAGGACTAATTTGAGTTATAAGATGATAGATTTGGTCAGAGAGAACAAAAGAGATTCTCTCCTAATCCCACTCCCCTTTTTCAACAAATAGGCCAACAAGAGAATCTATGTTCAAATTAGAAACATAAGCTAAAGCATGATTAGACAATTTACTAATATTAGAAATTCAATTGTTCAAAATCTTAATAGATATACCATTCTTGACAAACCACCCTAAACCCTAAGTAAAGAGGAGCTAAATAGACATGAGATCTCTTAAAAAATGAGAAACTTTATGAAATTTTCTAGATCCTAAATTGATGTCTATATTAAAGTTATACTTATGGCTGAAGACTTGAGTGCACATGTTAGAAAGGTTATTTACTAATCTCTAGCACAATTTCATTAACTAAACTTTACTTTTTAATTTACATTGTACTTATAAGATTTCCTTCTTCATTAGCAAAGAAGGCACATTCTTTATTTTTTTAATCTATACTTTAGTCTTTAATTAGCATTTTTTATTTTTATTTTTGCATTCCTTGAAAAGAACATACCATGATTTGTTGAAGGTGATCCAAATATGGTGCCCACGTGCATCTGTTCACCAACCATTCCCTAAAACCTTCGTTACCAGTCATAACTCCTTTCAAAATTGTTACCCAAATAACACCAATCACAATCCAAACTTCATCACCAAACTAGACGCAAGATATATCTGCCTAACTTCTGAGTCAATCAATATGACACTATGAACATGCATTACACCACTTCTCCCAAGCAAACCACCATAAAAAACACTTCATCCCTAATGAGTAAGGCAAATTTGCTTCCATCCACCACCATCACATCTATCTATATCTTGAACCCCACATCATCATCATCACCTTTACCTCACACTAACCAACCACTACAAGACTCCCTTTTATCACACCAAATCCAAAAATCAATATAGATTTCAATCCCATAATTTATATGAAACGATCTTGGTAACACATATCTAAGAGCATTAATTATTTTTATCATAAATCATTGTATAATGTATTATTAAAAAAAATTCTTTTTTATTTTTAATTTCTTAACTAATACTTTTATGATATTGATTAGCATTCTCTAAAAAGAGTTAATACAAACTAAAAGAAAAATTATTATTGATTATGAATACTCTATATTACAAAGGAGAAAGAAATTTATACAAAAGGTTAACATAACTAGAAATAAAGCCGTATCTAGAAGGATCTAATCAAAACTAAATAATAACAAAACATATCTTTAGAATATCAAAACTGATTACTAATTATTATTAGCGTCAATACTCCATTCAACCTGGAGGGTATATGTTTATTACTCCCAACTTGGAAACCAAATAAGAAAAATGAGAAGAATCAAGAGCCTTAGTCATGATATCAGCAGTTTGCTCACGAGTTGAAATTGGTAGCAAATGAAAAAGTTTAGCATGAAGCTTTTCCCGAACTAGGTGGCAGTCAATCTCTATATGTTTCGTACGTTCATGGAAGACATCATTGTGAGCTATATGACGGGCAAACTGACTATCACAGTATAGTAATGAAGGAGTGATGAAAGGAATTTTCAAGTCTTAAAGTAAATATGTCAACCATTGAAACTCATAGACAGTGGAAGCCAAGACTCTCTATTCAGCCTTGGAGGAAGATTCCAATATAGTGGGCTGCTTCTTGGATTTCCATGATATGAGAGAATCACCCAGAAATATGTAATAACTAGTGATTGATTGTTGAGTCCCTGAATAAGTCCCCCAATCAAAATCGCTAAAAGCTTTAAGTTGTAGAGAGGATGTAGCTGGATAGAAGATTCCTTGGTCAATGACACCTTTTAAGTACCTAAGAATCCGAACAACAGCTTGATGATGTGAGTTAGTGGGACAGGACATAAACTGGCTAAGTTGTTGCATAGAAAAAGCAATGTCAGGTTTGGTTGTTGTTAAGTAAAGAAGCTTCCTAATTAGTCTTCTATAACCAGGGGCATCATGATAGGGTTGAGTATTCAACTCCTGTTTCTTGGAGAATTTAACCATGGGGGTTGAGACTGGTTTAGCTGCAATATACCCAATCAGAAAGAAGATCTAAAGTATATTTTCTTTGAGAAATAGTAATACCAATTTGAGACCGAGCCACCTCCAAGCCAAGGAAATATTTCAGATGGCCCAAATCTTATTTTAAATTTGCTGTGAAGTTGTTGCTTAACAAATTGAATTTCTATGGTATTAGTTCTAGCCAAAATCAAGTCATCAACATAAATCAATATGACAGTAAAATGATTGTTAGAAAGCTTAGTAAACAAAGAATGATCATGTTGAGATTGATGATAGCCAAGAGAAGTAAGGTAAGTATGAAGTTTACATACATAATTAGGACCAAGTGAAGGGATTCCTTGAGGAATAGTCATGTAAACATCCTCTTCTAGATAGCCATGCAAAAAGGCATTATTAATATCTAATTGACAAAGATGCCAATTTTGGCAGGAGGCAATGGCCAAAAGAAGTCTAACGATACTCATTTAGCAACAGGAGCAAAGCTGTCAAACAGTCAAAGTCATCTAACCCTTCTATTTGATTATACCCTTTAGCCATAAGCTTGGCTTTATATATTTCAATAGAACCATTTGATTTGTATTTGATTTTATAAACCCATTTAGAACCAATCGGAGTCTTTTTTATAGGGAAAGAGACTATAGACCAGGTCCCATTTTCAGTTAAAGCTTGTATTTCATCATTCATTACTTCAACCTAATGATCAAATTTGATAGCAATGTCTTGAGGAAAAAAAAATCAAAAAAAATATTGTCAACATGAGAGATATTTTCAGAAATAGTATGTTTGTATGTGAATCTATCTTCATAAAAAATAACATTCTTGCTAACATGTAACTGCCTACAGATAAGATCCATTATTATATACACTTTTGTACCAGCTTTATATCCTAGAAAAACACATTTTCTAGCCCTACTATCAAGTTTGGATCTATTTTGGATTTAGGTAGAAGTATAGCAAAGACTACCAAAAATTTTAAGATCAAGCAAAGTAGGTGCTTCATTGTAAAATAATTGAAAAGGACTCTTACCTTGCAAGATTGGTGATAGAAGTCTATTAATGAGGTATACTGCATGCTTGACAGCAAATCCTCAGAATACCTTTGCCATATGAGAATGAAACAATAGGACTAATTACATTAAGAATGTGCCTGTACTTCCTTTCAACAATAGAGTTCTATTGTGGAGTCTCCACACAAGATGTTTGGTGCATGATGTCATGCTTAGCATATGCAAGATGCTTAACAAATTGAGTTCCATTATCTGATCTAATACATTTGATTCTTTTACCAAATTGTGCATAAACTATAATTATAAAATTCTCAATAAGATCTTTAGTTTCACTCTTAGATTTCATGAGAAAAATCCAAACATGTCTTGAATAATCATCTATCATAGTTAAAAAAATATTTATGACCATGTATTGAAGGGACAGAAACAGGACCTCAAATGTCCATATTTACAAGTTCAAAAGAAGTATTACTTTTACTATGACTAATGGGAAAGGGGAGTTTGATTTGTTTGACAAAATGACAAAAATCACAAACTGTACTGGAATTGAATTGAACATAAGAAAATTGTTTGTTCATATGATGTAAAACTTTATCAGAAGGATGACCAAGGCGATAATGCCACAAATCAAAATTACTAATAATGTTCAATACATGTTTCTCATTAAAAGAATGCAGAGCAGGAACAACAGTTACAGTAGGCTTATTAGGGTGCTATAGTAGGTATAAATTATTTTGTACTTTAGCTTATCCAATCATCCTCGAAGTAGTCATATCCTGTATGACACAAGAGGATTTATTAAATATTAGGATATGATTTAAAGATGCTGTCAACGTTTGAACAGAAATAAGATTGATTTGAAAGCTATGAATAAAAAGAACATGATCAAGATAGAAATTATCAGTAAAAGAAACTGTCCTAGAAAATTCAGCATGTGTAATAGTGCCATTAGGGACTTTAACTTGTATAGGATTTATAGAATAATAGATAATGTAATTATCTAAACAGTTAGTCACATGATCAGTGGCCCCCATGTCTAAAATCCAAGCACTGGGCCAAGAAGATTACCTTTCTTAGCTGAGGATTGATGAATCCTACCCTCATCAGGTTTATTATAAGAAACCTGATTTATCATATGATCTAGACCTTGTGAATTACTTGTTTTGAGGATTTTCATGATCTGTGCATATTAGTCAGATGTGATATTACTCAATGATTCCTTTTGTTCATTGTTCTTATTAGTAGTATCTGAATTTTGTGAAATCTGAGAAAGAACTGATAGATGAACCAGTATTTTTGTTCTTGAATTTAAAGTTTGATGGGAAACCATGCTTGAAGTAGCATGTTTTCTGATAAGTGTATAAAATAAGTGATTTGAGATGGTAATTTGAACACTTTTGTGTTAAAAGTTGGACTATTTTGCTAAATTCCTTTCAAACTTGAAACTTTTACAAATACATATATATTTTTAGAAATGAATGCAATTTTAGTATTTTAATCTCTTTTTGATCTATTTTGTAGCTGGAATCACAAGAGAAACATCACTTAAGGTTGAAGAAGATTATAAAAAGACAGAGAAGGAGTAATTGAAGCATGAAGTTGCAAAAAAATCAGCTTCTAGAGGTCTCTCGCTGTAGCGAGAATGCGTATTGAAAAGATGGTGAATTTGTTCCCATGTCGCTACAGCAAGAAGTGGTCGCTGTAGCGAGAGTTAACGTTACAGCGAGAAGAAAACAGAATGACCTAATTTATATCTCCATTTCTCGGTACAATGAGGTCATGTCGCTGTAGCGAGAGAAGCTCGAGCAGACCAGTATAAAAGGCAATTTTTATGTTCAAGTGAGAAGTACTGTTTCAAAATCAGTTCCAGAGGTCCAGAACGGAGCAAGGCAAAGAAAAGGAGTAGAAATACTTGGTTTTTGATGTTTTATCCCTTTTGTATCTCCATTTTTGTTGATATGGTTGCCATAAGTAGCTAAATCTTGTATGGGATTGAATATAAATCTTCAAACCTAATGTATTCTCAGTAATCTATATAAATATAGTTATTTCTTCTTCATTTCTATTGATTTGGTGATCTCAATTCGTTTTAATGGTTGAATCTAGTCATTTGACAATTTTTGGAGTTCAGATCTGAGTTGTATTTGGGAAGATATTATTTAAATCTAGATCTGATTGAGGTTACACAATAACTAGTTGTTCTAGGAATAGAATCCAAGTTGTTGATTCCTTTTAAATCCTAATTTTAATGTTGGATAGTTTATTAACTGTTTGAGGAATCAACATTTGAGAAATTATCTTAGGAATATATTTTCAAAGAATTGAAATATATGATTTTCGTATTTTGCATCAGATTCATTGGAAATAATTGCTATATTTATCACTAGATTACTGGAATATAAAGGGGGAGATAGATAAAATTCAATCCTAGCTTTTTAACTTGAATCTTACCAGATTTTACTTTAGTGCTTTACATTTTAATTGTTGTTTTAATATTTCATGAAAATCATTCACCAAATTTATTGTATATAAACTCAATTAATTTGTATCTTATTGATTAATACATTTGAATTGCTCTCTGAGGACGATATTTCAGTACTCTACCGGTTATTACTTGCAACAGACTTGGTACACTTGCCGTGTTTGAAGGAAAAGAAACAACATTTTCACAGTATGATTCTCATTACCACTGAAGCTACAAACCTTGGTCATTCCACCAATAGATCATTTGGAATTGTTTCTGCTTCTTCCACGGCCACTTTGGTAGTTATTTCTACCTCCTGTAGTTCCTCCCCAGTTAGAACATTTCCTTGTGGTAGTGGTAAAAATCTTGGACTCTACCATCATAGGGTTCTCAAATTGCCTTTCTTGATGGAGAATCAAGGAGAAGATTTTGTTGATTGGTGGAAGGGGTTCCATGATCAATATTTGGCTTCTCACATGAGCATATTGATCATTTAATCATTTTAGAAAACATATAACATGTTCTAAATCCCTATATTGCTTGAAGGTTTTGGTGATGTTGCAAGTGCATTGGGCTCCACAGGTACAAGAAGAAATTGGTCTCAATGATTCCAATTCTTCCCATAGAATCTTTAAATCAGTATAATAGGAAGATATAGAACGTTCACCTTGCTTGATTGAATGCAATTCTTGAAGTAAATCTAAAACTCTAAAATGGTTCCCTTTCGCAAATTTGTCTTTCAAATCCTCCCACAGCTCCTGTGCATCATCGATGTAGGCAATGCTCTGTGCGATTTGTGGTGACACAGTTTTGGTGATCCATCCTACTACAAGATTGTTTGACCTTTCTCATGCATCATAAAGTGGATCAGTCTTATTTGGTTCTTTGATGCAGCCATCAATGAACTTGTGTTTATTCTTTGAAAGGAGTGCTCACTTGATGTTTTTGCTCCAGAGATGATAATTGGTTCCGTCGAGTTGCGGCGTAGAGATGATTGCTCTTGTGTTTTCACCAGGATGCATATACTATGGGCTATTGAGGTTTTGAGATTCATCTTCTTTGGAGGAACCGTAATTTTATTTTTTTTTAATTCAGCCATGGAGGTGTAAGAGTGCTTAGCGGAAGAAAAGGGACAATTGTGGCAGAGCCCTCACCAAGAGAGCTTTGATACCATAAAAGAGTTTATACAAACTGAATGAAAAACTATTATTGATTGTGAATGCTCTATATTACAAAGGAGAAAGAGAAATTTATACAAAAGGTTAACATAACCAGAAATAAAGTCGTGTCTAGAAGGATCTAATCAAAACTAAATAATAACAAAACATATCTTTAGAATATCAAAACTGATTACTAATTATTATTAGCGCCAATATTCTCCTTTCTTTAAAAAAAATATATAAAAAATTAAATTTATTAAGAACAATGAAAATGCTAACTTTAGATCAAAAATTAATTAATCTTGCAAGGAATAAAATCTTGTGGCCATTTTAATATAAATCACTTCCTTCTATAACAACAAAGGTAATACCATAGAGTTCTGTCACTCCCTCTACTTGCATCATGCAAGCTACGAACATTAGTAGCCAAGCGAACTGCCATTGGTTAAAGTAAACTATTAATTTAAATTTTATTTTAATAAATAAAAATAAATAAAAAATATTATAAATATGAAAATTTATTTTATATTTAGTTACCATAACAATATATAGTCATTTTAGTGTATCATAGACTTGTATTTATATGTTATAAAATAATAAAATCATGTTAAAAGTTTGTAGACACGTAGATAAGAATGTTAAACTTCATTAAAGTTGTGTATCTTTTTTTCTTGTTTTTATTCTTCGATGTAGCACCAGGAGGACCATTAGCTAATGTGTATCATTTTATGAAAATAGAAAATGGTTCTCACGTTCTTTGAATAGTCGGCACATTAAAGAATATCCATAAAGGCTTTTAAAAAATTGTTTTGATTCTATCTCTATTTATTCCGTTTGAAAAAAAGAAGTATCTCAACAAAAAATTAAATTTTCTTTTAGTTGTTGAATCTCTCTTTGATTGATTAATGTATGATATTTTGAATCCTCGTTCCTAATGCAATCGAAATGATTCTTGGATTGATCATAAATTTTGTATTTTCATTTTTTTTCAAGCCTAGAAAAGTGAAACCCTCATGAATCTAGTTCTTCCCTTTGAATAGAGGTTATAGCTTCATTAAAGTTGTGTATCTTTTTTCTTGTTTTTATTTTTCCTATTTTTTACATGTTAGTGTGCTTCTAAAATTAGAGAATGCAGAGGGCTGCTCTGTCCGTCCAACAAATAGAAGTATAGCCTTAACTCTTCAAGATATTTTTGAAACATAATGACTTTAATCCATATTCTCGCGTTTTAATGACATAAAGTCATTTACCAAAGCAACATAACCAAAGAAAAAAAAAAAAAAATCTTTGTGCCCCTGTGACAGTATCTGCAACTTGGTCCTTCTTCTAATTATTGATGATGCATCCATCAGTCAAAGATGATATGGTTCTTGTAGATCAATTAGCCAACCCGTAACACATTTTGAGTAAGGCCCGACAAATGAAAAACGGTAAAAATAAATTTTTTGTCAATAGAATATATTCTTGGTTGTCATTTTTAGTCTTAATGCCAACCTGTTTCCTAAACTCTGAATATTCTCAACAGTATGTATATATGGTTTTATTTAATTGCATGAAACAACTTCTTTTCTTTGTTATATGATTTGAATGATAACTATCATTATATCAAATATCCCTTAATTCTTGAGAAGACAACAAATAGTGTACTGTATGATCAAGGGGTTCATTCTTTTCCAAAAAGTTTGCTTCTTCTTTCTACTAGTACATGTAATATGTTTTATAATGGAAGTGTCTTTTGCACCTTTTGCGTTTGTACCAACAGCATTTTGTAATGAAATTTTTTTTTAGACAATTAGCAATAATATGTTAGTAATTGCTTCTGATTTTTTTTATCATTTTTATCATGGTTATTTTTTTCTCCCTCAGTTTTGGAGATATTTATCATGCTCTGGTGGCTATAAAAATCTTTTCAAGCTAACTCCATGCATATCTGCGGAGCCTGTTAACTCCAACAGAGTACCTTTAGTTAAATGTTCTAATTTTTCTACAATACCACGTAAAAATATTTCTCAAAAACAAATGGCTAGAATCTAATCGTGGGTGAGTTAAAGTATTGTGAATTTTTATTTTGGTAATTTCATGATAATTCTTTGTTTGCATTGTCTTTTAGAGAAATGTTAGCAACATACTTCTTATTATTAGTTAAAAATTATTAAAATAAAAGAAAAAATATTAATTTAAGAGAAAAAAAAAAGGTGAAAGTCGCATTCCTCTGGTACCTTATATTACGAGGAGGGTTAGAGGTTAATGCAACCTTCTTTTAAGGGCAGCATGAGTGCATGGTCATTTTTCAGAGTTTTAAGGTCGAGTATTGCAGCCCCCAACCCATTTTACCTTCCCACCTAGTGTCGGAATTGATCCTTTCACGTAAAATTTTACACAACAGGGCTCTGCAAATTTTGTTAGTGATTACTATCAAAATTTAAGTACATGTATTAAAAGAAAAGGCGGACACAAAAATTCTATATAATCTTACACTTATGAATATCTATTAAGATATAAACAATTTTCACATACTAAGATTAGAGAAGATCAATTTTTTATCTTCTTCTTGTATTGTTCTTTTTACGAGCCAAACAGCAACATTATTATGCCAGATTGAATACTAATCGAATGAATCTTCTCTGTTTCAGCTAAACATTATAGTATGAACTATGTTCTCCCATTAATTATTATAGACATGTTTTGTCTTGAAGAGATGTATTACAAGACCAAAAAAAGGTGCTAAAAGAAAACTGCAACCTATACACTGCTTTTCATGTCGCGGTACACATGTTACAGCCTGAAAAATTATCCGATCAAATGCACGTTTCCAAGTTTATACCGTTAGTGAAGCATGACATGACATCGTTCTTTGACAAACTAATCCTTCACATCTTCACACTTTTGGAAGGGTGAATCTGCTTAATTTACTAAGTTCTAAGGTATCAAATCAATGATGCTATTCCACAATTTTGGTTGGCCACAAGTTCTTCCACCTTGTAATTTCATCTTCACTTTGCAGCTTCCTAATTCCACCATAAAAACCATCTACTTCATTGCCTTGTTCTCTATGATGCTTCCTGTTTATCACAGTTTGTCTCCATCTAGAACCAGCCGTGTACTGTGTGAACTCCAAAAGCACCATATCTGTCAGCAACACTTTTTTGTCAGTTCTAAAACTTTGTTTAGGAATTAGCACAACCAGAGGGGTTATACATGCGTTATGAGTGAGTGTATATCTTTTATTATATAAGACAAGTAATTCTTGACAAAAAAGACTATAGTAGCTTATATTTTCTCCTTATCAATAAAAATGTTTTTGTTTTCCATATGATGAAAACCCAAATTCTACTATACCCATGATTTGAAGTTCAGAAAAGTATAAAATGTACAAGTGAATAGTTCTTACCATTATTGTGACAATGGCAATGGTTCCCTTGCCCTTGACATTTTTCCAAATGACCAATAACACCATACCACCAGCCTACAATAAAACACTTGTACAAATTATTGCATGTCATGACCAAATTCATGTTAACAAAAGTGTGATAAAACCATTTACCAGAGATAATTCACAAATTAGTCCAACAAGACACAAACATTGACAACAGTGCAAAACAAGGACATACCATAAGGAAACTCTTTGTTTCTTCTCCACTGGATCTCAATATGGTCTCCAGGTCTTAAGTCATCCAAACAGTCAGAGATATGAAGAGCGTGTGGAGAAGAGTCAATTGGTGGCACTCTCAGCCGGTCCCATTGTATGTTTTCCTCAGTTGTCCATCTCCCATGTGGTGAGTACCTGTCACAAAGCATGAGCTTATCAACCTTCCAGAATTTGGTAAAAGAAGCCATCCTATAAAAGGTTATGCTGCTAAGATTTTGGTGTGATTTTAAATTCTAACCACAGGGACACTAGGACAGACACAGACAAGTAGTTTGGCATGTAAGCACAACTTTGAAGGAGTCAACCTTTTCACATACCTTGCCAGAAAAGTGTCAGTTCTAGAGTCATAGCAAAGTTGGGCATCATAACATGAAAGCATGAACCCGGCATGACCATTCTGACAATGGAAAGTGTGAAAAAATCAGACAAAATCCCGAAAGGCAGAATTGCTAAGCACAATATTTGTAGTTTTAACCATTCAGATTAGAGAAGCATTCCTACTAGTAACACATAAATCAGATTGTGTAACCAACCTCACGGTTATAGACTTGAGCTGGGAACCAAAATTTGCCAGTCTCAAGAGAAAGATATAGAGCCACTATTGAATCATCTGGTGAGGAGCTCCTTGATTGTGTGCCGTTTTCTGATTTTGATTTAATCCATAGGAAGGGTTGAAATCCATGAAGGAAAGCAAATATTCCTTTCTGACTGTGCTGATTGGAGATCTTTTCAGTGTTTTGGGAAGCTACGTGCAATTTCCATTGTCTATATGCAGCATCACCAAAGACTTTACCCCATTTCCTTTCCATGTGTTTGTTCCATAAGTGATCACTTCTACTTCTTTCCCTGAGAGATGTGCATACTGTTCCCAAACTACATAATTCAGCTGGTGAAAGGTGCTCAAGGATACACTCCAATGGCAAATCAGGCAAATCCAAGAGAGAAACCTTACTTTCCTCTTCTCCATTCTCCACTTTAGATACACAACTCTTCTTTTTCAACGACATGCCAAGAGAAAACTGAAAAAAGCTAGAAGGGTTGCTTCCTTTCCTGAGCCGAGAAACCAGCCAACTTGAAAGACCCCCCAAAAAACCGCTTGACACAAGTTTGGTCCCACTTTCCCCAGATGAAAAAGGCTTACTGGTAAAGGACTTGGAGAGAATGAGAAAGGACACAAAAGATATAAGGAAATAAAGCATTGTAATTGGAGGTCAATTTATCAAAAGGGTCTAATTGAGATTGGCAGAAGCTGCATCAAAAAGCTGAAACTCAACACAAAATGGTTTTCTATTAGAGAGAAACAAGATCCACCAATGGAAGAGGAGAGTGGTGGTTTGGCCAAACCGATGGCTTTTGTCTAACTGTCTTAGAGCAATGCTCTGAGAGAAGGACTTGTGTAAACTACACAACCGACAAGCTTTCACAGCTGGTTAGTTAAAAAGCACTTTCCTAATTGAACACAAAACAAACATCAAGGATGCTACTTAAAATTGTGTTAGCATCTTCACACAGTGAATTCCCACAATGGAGAGAGGCAATATGTACGGGCAGTGGGAGGCAGCTGTTCAGTGATTGATGGAGAGGTGTTGAGAGAAGGGTAGCAAAGCAAAACAAAGCATTATACTACTTGCTTAGATTCCAACGATGATGACACCAAAAGAAACATGGTGGATCAAATTTTTAATCCAACGGAGCTTGAAATCACATGATTATGAGAATAACAAGCTGAAATCTAGGAGATTGAAGGAAATACAAGCCACGTGGGATGAGTTAGGCAACAATAATTGTACCAATTAATGCATACACTAACAATTCAAAACGGAAACAACAAAGTTTAGCATATCATACTATATTTATAACAATTTAAGAAAAAAAGAAAAGGAAACTTATATGGCTATGAAATAGCAAGTGGGTCCCTTTGAATTCACCTAAAGTCACTAACTTTTTAATCAGAGAGTCCCCTTGTGTGTGGCGTGTTTTTGAGTAAAGAAGAGAAGAAAGTGACTATTATCTAAAATTGAATGATGGGTTTTGAGGGGTTTAATGAATTACATAGGTGGGTGTGGGTGTGTTAATGTGGTTTGTTACAACTGTGTCATAAAAGTCTACCTGTTTTCTTTGCCTAACTTCCACCAAACTCTATACTCTCCACTCAAAAGAAAAGAGGCAGACAAGAAATATTGTGAGATTATGAATGAGTCCCTACTGAAGAACCAAAACTGTGTCCTTCAATTGATTAACACCTCATAAAATCAATCTTATTTATTGCTATCCTCGCAGAAAGGACACGGGGCCTCTTCCCTTGCATTGTTGCGTGTGATATTTCCAATGTCCTTCAACTTTGTTTTTCACTGTATTAATCATGCTTTAAGCCAAATACTATTCAGAAAACAAAATTATTAAAATGTCAAAGAAAAAAAAATAAACAAAATGACACATAAGAAGAATGTTAATGAATATCATTAAGACAATCAAAGTAAAAGAATTTTATGAAAAATATTATTCATGTAATTTTATCATTTTTTATAAAAATATTTATTTATTTATTTATTATTTACACTTAATCCTATATCATTTTTGTTATTTTAAACATCCTAATAATCTTTTTTACTCTAATAAAATTACTGAAAAAGCTTCTTAATCAATCTCAACCTATTCACGTTTTCATGCTTCAGCAAAAGCAGGACAAAAAATATATACGTTTTATAAATACATTTTTTTGGCAATGATGGGACCCAAAAAAATTGAAGAGCATTAAGTGCAGTCGAGCAAATAAATGCAAGTTGCTTTCAGTGAATTACAGTTGCATTTGTAAGTGCAACCAACATTAACGGTGTCCTAAGATATTCATTAATCAAATCTAATGAATAATCTTTCCTTTCATTTTTTTTTCCCAGTCAATATCTTGATGCATTCTTTATATTACATAAATTCCATGTGAATCGAAATAGACAGTAAAATTCACATAATGTAGTAGTTTTACTAGTTTACATATAAAATTTATTTAATATTGAAGAATATATTAAACGATATATTATTAACATTCTTTAAATTGTCTGACTAAAAAGCATCTTAAAAATAAATATTAAATTTTTTTATAATTTAATATTATAAATGCCTTCCTCTAAATCGCTTTCCTTAATACAATGATGTTACTTGGACGTTTTAGTTTATATATATTTTTTATCGCTTAAGATGGGGAAATGACATGACATCGCCGTGGATCAGGAATATGCTACATTATAATACACTTGAATCCCGAAGCTACTATTTTTCTCTTTCTTCTTCGTCAAGAGAATGTTCATGATAAATTTTATATTTTCTATTTTTATTACAATAATTAGTAAATCTAATCATGAATCACATCGTATAAATGATTACAGTTAAAAATTAAATTATTTATTATTAGATTTTTCTAATAATTTTTTCTAAACTTTTTCTAGTCTTTCTTTATCTCTTGTTACTAACTAAAAGTTATTTTATTAATTTTTTAGCTAATGTTTTTAGTTGCATTCTTTATACTTGATTAAATTATTTTAAATATTTTTCTATTATATTTAATATAAATGTTATTATAATATTTTTATATATTTAATTATTTTTATTTTATTCTATTTTGTGTAGTTATTTATTTATCTTAACATTTTCATTTACGCTATTATTACTATTTTTTAGTATTATTTTATAAGGTTCAACATCGAATATAATATTTTTATAAAATTAATGATTAACTGTTTTTATAATTTTGTTGATAATAATTAATGTGTATTTGATAGAAAATACTAAATAAATGAGATATTAAATAATATAATAAGGAAAATATATGATAAACAAAAAAAAAGCAAGTAATATTTTTAAAATTTTAAAATATCAATTTTTTTTATATTGAGAAAACTTAAACAAAAACAAATAGAAGGAACATAGAAGAAGGAAAAGAAGAAATACAAGAAAGAAAGAAATATATTAGTCTATTTTTAATTTTTTAATTTAGTCTATGATACTATTAAGTTAATTTTTTAAAATTGTGATTGAAAGCTTATAACTTTAAAATTATTTTATATTTAAATTTTTACTTGAATTATTTTATGCACATAATTTTTTATATATAATACAAAATTTACTCTTTTTATTAAATTTAAGCTATTTATACATTTTTACTTATTTACTAAATAGTTGTGTACACTGATCTTATAATTTTAAAATTATTTTGCAATTTTTAAATTTTACTTGAATTATGCTCATACAGAACACAAATACTTATGAGTTGAGCATTAGGATAGACAAGTGAGACAGAAAAGTTGGATCTGAGAAAAGTAGATTTAAGAAGAGACCAATCAAATTATATTTTTCTGGTTGGCCTAACGCCTAAGTCGTTGGCTTTCTTCTTTGAACGAATAACCGCTTTCATCGCTCCTCTGTCCTTCCTTAGGCCAACTACCCTATCTCTGTATCATATTGCTGCATTCCAAATTCTATACCAAAATTTTTATTGGGACGTACAAGACAAGTAAGCGAAAAATAATTATATGGCGAAGTTTAAATATTTTTATTAATATTTATTTTTAAGAGAATAAAATAATAAAGTAAAATTGTTAAAACTTTTTTATAAATTAAAATTAACTTCTATATTATTAATGCTTTTTTATTTAATAGATAACATTTTTTATAACAATATTATATTTATACTAATATTATTTATTTTAATCAAAATATATATTTTAATCTTATAATTTAATTATAATGTTAAAATAGATATATTAATCAACAAAATAAACTAATATAATCTTATTCAGAGGGAGAATTTTGTTGTATACATGGTCGTTTTATTTGATTCAAACATAATTGTTTTTATGAAAGATTTTTTGATATAGAAAAAAATTAATATAATCTTATTTCATGTATTATTGAATCTTTATTTGGTTAAATTTAAATTCAAATAATAATTATTTTTTAATTTAAGTTAAATGTTGAGATATCAAGATACACGTTGGTGGATTAAAAACAATAAAAATTATATAAATAAAGGAACTTCAATTGTAAATTGTCAAATATATTTTAGAAAAGTGAATTTTCCAAACTTATAGCTCAAGCACTCTTCTTCACTGTTGAATTAAGCCCACATAATAAATGCTAATGTGCTATCAATAATTAACTAAAGATAGAAAATGAAGTCTGAATCCATATCATAATATTCTACGAGAATTATACCAATTATATTATTTTAAGGCATCTTTCCGCAGATGACTATTGTGCCTGATTTTTGGGCTAATTTTGTTTAATAAAATAGAAATATTACATAAATCGCATATTAGGATTTGTAAAATAATCTAGGACTTGGTGGGGGACCCAAGATGTTGGGAATCCAGGTCTACTACGAAAACCATGTTAAAGAAGAAACCAAAATTTGATTTGATGCCCCTTATCTTCGAGTCATTCGTATTATTATATGCAGAGTAGTAGAAAGCCAAGTAGGCCACCATATACACTAGCAAGTAACCCAAGAACACCTTTCAGAATTTGTATGATGTCACCCACCCTATTGAGATGGAATCCACACGAAACAGAAAAATAATATTGAAAAGAAAGCACCCCCAATTAAACGTTTCTTTCTTCTTCTATATTGAAATGCTAAACTTTGATGTCATGCGTTAATTTATCAGGTTCAGCTCAGCATGATGTTTAATTAAGCGACAAGGGATACTTTGCCAATAATTTCTCTTCTTCCTTAATTAACAAAGCCAGGTATCCCTCTCTTCTAGTTGTGTGTATTTGTAAAATTTATTTAACATATAATGAACAAGAAACAAATATGCTGCATGATAAGAATGCATGTTTCTATTTAACAATTTGTTTGATGACACTAATATTTGGTAATGCATGCACGCGAGCCATTATTGCCGAGGCTAAATTAAACAGAGAATTAACACAAAAAATTGGTATAGACAACAAAAAAGAAAAAGAAAGGTGAATATGATGGGCATAAGCAAATTTGAAAGAATATGCATAAAATAATTGTATAAAGTTAGGAAAAGATCGAAGAATTTAAAGAAAGGAGATAGAGGTTAAAGTGAATAAATTCTTTGTTTGAGCCTACCTGATTCCACACATCCTGAAGGGCTGATTGCTAAGGAACAAAAGAAAGACAAATTATAGTGCTGATATACGGTATATGATAATCAGTTTGTGGTGCTGAAAATTTGAAAAGAATAATAATAAAGCTAAAACTTTAATTTGCCAAAGGTTGCTACTAGGCTAATGTTGCATACGCATGCTGCAAATTGTTTTTCAGGTAATCTGCCAAAAAGAAAAAATTGACTGCGATATATCTCGTCTAGCCCAGAAAAGAAAAACATATTCTGTTGGTCCTACTAATATATTCTATGTATCAACTTCTGTATACTATTTTCCTTTATGCATATCTGGAAAAGCTTCGTATCTAATTGCTAAGTAAGCAAAATCGACCCTAATATATATTTTTTAATCTAAATCTCAGTTATCTTCTGTAACAAAAAACCTAGTTCAAGTCAATAAAAATATTGTGAATATAGCAGTAAAATTTCTTCAAATATTTAACAATTAATCCAAAGTAAATCAAGCAACCGCTATAGTAATTAACAGTGCTCGTAACTACAAATAAGCATGTACGTACTAATAATGGATTCATAGGGTCGGATAGAATATGAATTAATTATTTCAATTATTAACTAGTATAGAGCTGCATGTGCTGCTTAGGTAATCAAGCACTTAACATAATCTCAAATTCTCGAGCAAACTTCTACTTTACTAAAAGAAATCCAAGTAGCGTTGTTGGATTTGGGACGCAATG